GAACCTTCCAGTTAACAGTAAGGAAGCTTAGCCCAAGTGCAAGAGCTACAAGTTTTCTTAAGTCCTGCTCAAATGGGTGTCGCAGCACTGGTTTAATGATGGTAGCTGGCGATGCCACTGTAACAGAGGCTTTGCAAGTCTTCTCTAGTTTTCACTCATGCTAAACGTGTCCAAAAAAAAAAAAAAAAAAAATCTTTTGGTGGTGGTGGGGAAAATAAACGGCAAACCCCACTACCACAACCCACAAACTCACTCCCATTCTTCAGTATTTAAACTGTAATTGAAAACTTGAGTGCAAGTTCTGTTTTAAATTGGACAAAATCATCACATACTGCTTTCAGTTTCGTTCAAACCCCATCATTACACCTTGCCCAGACAATATAGCTGTTAAAACATTTCATAGTCTGGCCTTGGTGCCACCACCATTATTCATGCATTAAAAACAGGACTCAACTTGATCACAAAGATGGCTAAACACTACAGATTTGGTCTGCAAGTCCGCGTGCGTACTTTGAGCACTGGCTTCGGGTTGCAAAAAGATGCTTGTCTGTCAGACTGGTCTGGTGGCACTTGGAACGAGCAGTTTGTGTGCACTTGAGGTCAGCTTTGCACTGCGTATGGCCCACCCAGTGGTGCTTCTGGCAATTCAGTGCATTTCAGCTATTCAGAAAATAAACACTTCATCTGTACAAAAGTCAGAGACTGATCTCCTAGGTAGCAAGTGATCCAAGCCAACTGCCTTCTAGCAAAGAGAAAAGCCAGGACACCCCACTCTCCCCTACCAAGGGCTCTGCAAACTTGAAACAAAACAAGAAAAACCCTACCAAAATATTAGTCAAGCCTACCAAACATTATGGTAGATGAAAACAAGGACAGCTCAAAGCCAGCTGTGTTTCTGGCTTAACCTTCCATAGCGCTGATAAGGCTCAAATCTGTGCAGCTTCTAGACTACAAAGCCCAAACACATTCCTTCGGAGAAGCTTCATCTTATTCAGTCCCCTAGACTCACCCATTTGAAAAAGAAGAAAAAAAAAAAGGGGGTAAGACATACATATTGAAAATCCTACATTTGCTTCAACGGCACAGGAATTGGGGCAAAAGAACAGGTTAAAGCTGTTGCAGCGTTCTTCTCCCTCTCGACGTGCTGCGCGCTACCACAACAGCTGCTCTTCCCTGCGTGCGCCCTGCTAGCTGCGGAAGGTTGCTTCTCTGCCATCGAAGCCACGAGGGGGAAGCGATCTAAAAAAGCTCCAGTCACCAGAACGGCAGAGGAACCTGCAAGCAGGTCT